AGTTAAATCATTCAAGAATTATTATATTGTTAGTTTGGACGAAGGCTTCAAAAAAAGTGACACACTGCCTGTACAGGTACACATCAATGAATGTTCGGATTAATTCAAAAATCGGCGGACATTAATTTATTTTAGTTATCTAAAGGCAATGTTATTTCCAGAGACATTTATATTTTCTGTTTTTTATGTCTCGAATTTTTCCTTTTTGTGATTTACCGGTTTACAAAGGCCTGTGTTTTAACAGCTGTTCGTAAACGTTGTCAATTAATATATGATCAGAGAAAACGAGACATCTCCCGGTAACTCATTTCTTATGGAAAATATATAGATTGACATCTTAGTATTTACCGGTGTAATTGCGATGTTACAAACCGTGACGATGACTGGCCAGGAGAACTACCCGTTATAAAAACAACTCATGATCAACTTAGCTGACCTTATATTCACTTTAATATATGCTGTAAATCAATAAAATCATTTCAGTTTAACCGATATTCTATTGCAAAGATAATGGAAAAAAAAAAGATTTGGGATTTAGAATTTTTCTGTATTTCAAACGCTCTATATGCATTTATTTGGGGCGCTCTTGTATATGCACTTATTAAACGTGCATGTTCTGTACACCTCCTTTGCCATGCGCTATCGAGGGAGGTGTTACATAATTGTAAACACACAAGGTGAATGTAAAAGGCGTGCACTTAATGGCTGTGAATAGTAAATGCTTCAAAGTTATGTTTTATTTTCTCACTATATTGTTTGTTTTTATATGATAAGAAGAAAAGGTTATCTTTTTTTTCCTTTTTCTTAGTAGACTGGTTTATTCGACTTTGAAAAAAAGAAATAAAAGGAAAAGTTGTCAAACATAACTTGGAAATAAAGCACAAAACACTTCAAGAACCTTATTCTAAAGAATATTAGCATCTAATGTAGCCAGGTTTATAATTTATAGTAAGTTTATTTTAGTTACACGCATGAAGAGCTCTCGCTTACTTGCTGAATGAAAACAGCTACCTGTAAATGGTTCTGGCGCATTTAAAACACAAGACTCGAACAAAATAACATTTTCATGAGATTAATAAGATGTTAAAGAACAACTTTTTTCACGACAGCCATTTCGAAATATTTACCGTTTTTGAGTTATAAAGCAAAAAATTTAAAGGGCTCCAGATCCCTAATTTGAGGGGCCAGCCCCTTTTTAGTTGTGTCAAATGAAAGATCTTAAAATTGTGCACAACTTTTATTCTACATGTGTTATCAAAATATTTTTAGTTTTAAAGATACAAAGGAAAATATGTCTAAATTTTCGCTCTTTTAGGCGTTCTAATTTTTTACCCCTATATAGCGCCATTTTGAATACAGAAATCGAAAAACAAAAAACGATGTGCACAAATTCAATCCTTCTATCATTTAAATTCGGTAGAATTTCTGCTCCAGATTTTGTAGACTCGGAGCCTTTGTCTGGAATTGAAGCCTCCTAAATTTTCATTTAAAGGGAAATAACTCAAAAGCGGAAGTGACTTTTTGAACTGTTTGACAGCATTCTGATAGAGTTTTGTAACGTCTATAAACCCTGCAAATTTGAGCAAAATCCGTTGAGAAATGAGCGAGATATGAGGTCTCAAAGTTGGCGTCTAGGAAAACGAAGAAGAAAAAAAAGAATAATAATCTTAACCATCAGAATCAGTAGAAGGTCTTCCGTTGGAACGGAAGACCTTAATTATACTATTATACTAGCTATAGAATTTAATGTATAATGCAAAAAGTATTTGATAGCTTTTTACGGTAGACTTGTAAGTAAGAAATAAATAAACATTAAGCAAAAATACTGTATATTTGAAATATGAAGAAGACGAACAGTAATCAAGCTCAAGGGTCCAGTGAAACAATAAAAATCGGGAGCAGAGTAAACACGACTTCCAAAAACATCAGAGGTGGGATCAGGATACATGGAGGAGTAGCATCACCTGTCGACCGGTCACAACCGCCGTGAAAAACGTCAGTCAGCATTCGATTAATGAAAGTTTTTCCTTCCTGACAAGGTCATTATATCAACCATAGAACTTGCGAAATGATGACTTTAAACGAGACTGTTGATATTCTCGTTTCATCAACTTGTTTGTCGATAGCTTTCCTCGTTTTAGAAATTGTTCGTACGTAGAGTATGCTCTCGCGTATCGAATCATCTGGGAGACATAAACCCAATATGCAGGTGATAAGGATATATTGCTACATAAGTAAGGGAAGTTGACGATAGAAAAGTTGAAGTCATTATGTAAATCATAAAGTTTTATTGTTAGATTACCATTAACGTCTTTGTCTACGTCTTTGTCTAGTTAAATATCCAAATATGAAAGTTCACTTAGATATGTGAAGTCGACATATGAATCGAAGTAACTCTTGTTAATTGATAATACGTCTTCTATATATCTAAATATCGAGTTGAAGGCCACAGAAAGTATTTTCTTCTTCTCTTCTATAAGTTTTGAATAAATTCTGCTTCATATGGATACAAAAATACGTCTGCTAATAACGGGGTGCAATTGGTACCCATGGAAATTCTGACAGATTGTTGGAAGACCTGATCTCCAAAAACTTGTGTGTACAGTCGGCATGTTTTTAACAAAATAGTTTTGCAAATGACCAATGACAAGTAAATTTACGAGATAAATTCGTAGCATAAACATTTCTAAAAGAACGACAGCTGATAGAAGGGATTTTATGCTTGGAAATCATGCTGAAACACATATTAGTGAAAGTGTCCTTCGAATGGAAGTGTAGTTTTAATTTAGAACTGGCGTATAAAGGCAAGTAAATAAATCTTTTTTTAGAGTTGTGCTAGACTACCAAACAAACTACCGGTATTTTATTGATTTTTGATCGCCCAATTTCTTTTGTTTTTGATCAACATATCTTCCTCTATGAATATATGTGATCGGAAGGTCGTGTTTCGAATCACGGCCGCGACTGACTTAAGTTCATAAAAAATAGGTAGCAACTGTTCCTTCGCCAAGCGCTCTGCACTTTGAAGTGAAAGTTGCGGATGAGACCTTAAAAACCCAGGCCTCGTGTCACGGTTGGCGTTGACAAGATAAAGAACCCTCACTGCTCAATTGCCCTGAGTGTCGCGCAAAAGTCAAAATTTGAAGCCCTTCACCGGTAATGGTGACGTCTCTATATGAGTGAAAAATTCTCGAACGGGATGTTAAACAACATACAATTAATCAATCTATGGATTTTGTTAATTTTATTATATAATAATGAAATTGTCATTCTATGGGTCCTTTACAGGGTTTTATCATACTCAGGTGACGTTAAGGTGCTTAACCCTATTGTTGGATAATCATTTCATTACTTTTTTAAAAAAAATTCAAGGTTTTGTGTTGAGGAAGCGTAAATTTTCAATAGCTTTTTGGTGACTTATTATTCTATTGATGATAATTTAAATTTTTTTGTCGTGATAGTTTTGTATGGAGTCATTCAACATGCAATTCTAATTCAAAACCACTTTTTACGCGGACAGGATGGGTTTCGTTGTTTTATGAAGACAATTTAACTTATGGATCATCTACACAGCTACTTCAATCACAATCATATACATGTACAAATATGTAGGAGGAGAAAAGATGATAACAATATTTCAAAATTATATAGAAAATTCAGGTACCAACAATTTAGAAATATTTATTTGTTTATATCTTTCATGGAAATAGTGAAAACATTTCCTTTAATGTTACGCAAGTTTTGTTATAAAAAAATATATATCTTAGCTTAACATTGCTTTACTTTAATGCTGAAGTTTTCATGTACAGTGTGTAGTGTTATTTTCCATTGCTTTAAAAATATTAAACCCAGAGCAGGGTAATTCAATGTTTAGGAGCTTATGTGAATTTTGAACGAGTACTGAATTAGAGCGAACTGCTAACTGCGTTCCAATACTGCATGCCAAATCAATATATCCATATTAAGAACGTCATTCAGTTAACTTCTTCACTAGACAATACCCGAATGCCAATATAACCTTAGCTGCAATTATATTTATATAAGTAAATTGATTTTATTATGCAGACACTGTTGCCATCTGTTTATACAGTAGCTAGCACAATCTAACTATGTTTTCTGCCTTGAATGTCGTTCAGAGGCAGGTAAAGGGATACTCTATGAATAGGTAACATGACATATTCCTATAGATTTAAATATTTCTGTGAAGATAAGGGACATTTATTAGAATTTGAATTGAAAAGACCATTGGGTTGAAAAAAAAAAATTGGGTGAAACACGTAACCTGTCTTTTTGAGCATGTTTATATAACCATAATTTTAGTTCTTTGTCAATTGGTTGGTAATAGGGCATGTGTCTATAATAGTGAAATGTTTCATAAAAAAGATTAAAAGCTTTTTTTAATCAGATGTAAACGTGTAACCTTTCTTCTGCAAGAAAGTATTCATCTTTTTATTTTTCTAAGTTATTTAATTTTTTGAGGCCATAAAGCAATTGTATTCTTTAACTCTGTGCCGCATCAATTATTCACACTCTGAATCATGTTAATCTACTGGAAGCAGGATAATCGATAACTGAAAAAAATCACATGACGCTATCCCTAAAAAATACATAGAATCACTCTATGTGTTGCGTGCTATTTGCTGGATTAAAATCATATAACGGAAATTCAGGTTTAGTTCTTGTTTAATCTATTTTTTATTTTTATTTCAAAACAATATGACATTAAACCATTTAGATACCTCTAGAAAAAATACGAAAGGTAGAATTCGGAAATGCGCTTTGTTATTTATTTATATTGTCGTTCATTCAGAACAAAACTAGGTTCAAGTTACACTGTCAGCACACATGAACTATAACTTAAATCTTTTATAAAATCTACACAGCAGTTCGGGACATTGTTAACTATTTAAATGCTAGAATTGCGAACGTTTATGAAATTTCAATCTGTTCACCAGAGCATATAATTTATAGATAGTCATATCGATCTCTTTCGCAAACAGGTCAATGCAATAACCACTGGAAATAGTACAGTAAACTGCGTTTTATGATGCAACTCTTTCGTCAAATACTGCACTTTGGAACAGAAGAACTACACTGGTCTTCTATAGAAAAATAAACAGTAAATTGATATTTTACATTTGGATATGTATCCTTAACTTCTTCTCTTCTCTCAAAAAGGCAAGAGGATTTAATCAATTATCTACCTTATGTGATCAGTACCTTCAACATTAGACACCTTAAAGTTTTACTCTCTGATTCAGTGCAAAATGAGTGAACACGATGAGGAATTCTCGATGATGCATAATTTTATGATTTTGAATACACACTTCAAAATTGACTTGGCCAAATTTCTTGGGAATGTTCTACAGCTCTGCTGGAGGGATACTGATAATTTAAGGAAACATGAAATGTTTAATTTACTGGACAAAGGAAGCCAAACTGAGATATCAAGAAGAAATAGTTTTGTTTTGAGCTTTCCTGTATTGTGTGAAATTTTTCTGAAAGGAATATGTGGGGACATAGCGATGGAACAATACATGGATTCGGAGGTTCTTCAAGATGTTGCCCGCCTCCAGGAAATCTGGAAGGTCAATATTTTTGAGAATGATGTTGAAAAGATATCTAACGATGGCAGAAAACAAATCTGGGGGGAGATAGAGGGTGTCGGGGAAAGGATGGCTCAGAGATTTGAAGAAGTAGGAAAGATATATCTTGAAAGCATTAGAAGATATACAGCGGAAGGTAATTTATTAAACCTTGGTGATTTTACAAATTGAATGTTGATTTCCTATCCAGAAATTTAAGTAATTTAAGTTGTCTTTCTATATCAATGATGAATCAATAGCATCAATATTGATAAATACCGTATAACGGGTATTTTCTGCGGTTGGAAATTTTTGCGATTTAACCCCTAAAAGGTAGCAAATTGATTTCTGCGTTTTCAATTTCTGCGGTTGCATTATACCGCAAAAATTTATTTACGGGGTTTGATCACTAAACTTTATGAATTATAAGAACCTTGCCATGTTTTCGTTTTTATAAATTCAATAAGACATATTGATCAAAGGTGCATGAGAACTGGTATTAAGCTTAATTAGACTATTCTCTTTTGATTAGTCTTTGTAAAAATATGTTGAGTCCCAATGCAGTATCAGTCCCCCCAAACAACAATAAAAATCTTTATTCTAACAGACGTCTTATGCGATCTATTAAAATATTTAAATATATAGATAATGATAATAAATGCATCCAAGCCATTTTCTAAAATACACTTACCGTTAATTACCATCAAAATTAATTTGGTGTTTGTATTTTAAGCTAAAACAAACAGTTACATAATTTAGTACATGTATCCTAAAGTTGACGGTTAAAAATCACAGGTACCATGTGCATCGAGGCGTCACTAATCCTGTCAGTTCTGCATTGGGTGAAATTCACGAGGCAATCAAGCAATCAAGCCGCATTGTGTATACAAGCAGTAATTATTGTCTCAAGATAAAACACAAGATTGAAAAAAGTGTTTAAAAAAAGGAAAGCTACCATGTGTTGTTTGCAGCTATCGGAGTTTGGACTAATAATTGCGAAATACAGTGAAGGTACAAGAAAAGATACTTCTTCAATTGATATTATTTACAGGAAGATTTCGATTCAATATATTTTGAACAAATCCTGACATCTAAAATCGAATTTCGATGACACCCGATTTTTTTTTTTTAAAAACCTTGCGTTCCAGATATTTTTTTCTGCGTCCAGAACGCATGTTCTTGCATTAATGAGAACCCTGTCAGACATACGCACCACTTATCATAATTGCATGTATAAAAAATCTGAATAAATATTGAAAAATATTTTGCGATTGTAATTTTTGCGTATTTGTCCTATCCGCAAAATTCCGCAAAAATTGGACAACGGCAGAAAATACCCGTTATACGGTAGATGGCATCATCTTTAAAATTATGGAATGAAAGTGATTTTTTGAGATTGCAGTGACTGTTTTCAATCATAAAAATTTCATCACATTCTATTTTCTTCGTTTGCTATGCTTTTCCTTTATAATTGTAAACGTAACATGAAAAAGAAACTAAGTATAAAGAATTCAGATCAAGAAAAAATGGATAATCATGCTCAAATCAGTTATCACGATCAAAAGTCCAAGTTACCGATTCAAATTGAGAACAAAGCAAACAGGGACCCTCAAAAATCAGAGGTGGGATAATGTGTCAAGGAGAAGTAAGCATCCCTTGTTGACAGTTCACATCCACTATGAGCTCCTTGTCATGGGAAAACGGGGAAATCCGTAGATAATTCGATATAAAAAAAAATGACCTGACAATGTGTATGAAAAACCGTTAGTAATCAAAATTCGACCAAACGACAGATTATGTTGTAAACAAGGTCTCTGTAACGGCAAAATAAAATGACTTTAAATGAGATATATCATAACCTTTATCCTCAACTTACTAATCAGAACCCTGCATTTGTTAAGAAATCGTTCAAACATAGAAGACGCTTCTGCATATTGAATCACATGGGAGATATAAACGCGATATGCAGATTATGATGGTATAAATGAATTTATACATTTGCCTTACTATACGTACTAAATTTGAAAAGAATGTATGTGCTTGGTTGTTGATGTTGAGGTGGTGAGAAGGTTGGTAGTTTAGGAGCTAGCAATTAACAAATTAGCAATCAAAATCACAACAAAACAACGATTATTGTCTTATCAGCATATTATTGTTAGAAAAAGAGAGAGATCCATTTGCTGTCCAAATTGGGGATGAAAACAGAATGGATGTGAAATTTGAGGAAGAATCAAGGGCCCCTATATTCATACAGGTTGGAAAAAACAACAAGATAATAATTAATCTTGAAGACCGACGAACTTCAGAACAGCTCAGAACAAGTGAAAGAGGTAAGAACAAAACAAATGGAAGTCATTAAAGGAAAGAAGCAGGATGTATGACAGAAGATTAAGTGGGTGAGGTAAGAAAAGAGATTAGGTGGTAGAAGTAAAAACAGAATCAGTGGAAGAGGTAAGAATAGAATCAGTGGAAGAGATAAGAATAAAATCAATGGAAGAGGTAAGAATAAAATCAGTGGAAGAGGTAAGAATAAAATTAGTGGAAGGGGTAAGAATTGAATCAGTGGAAGAGGTAAGAATAGAATCAGTGGAAGAGGTAAGAACAGAATCAGTTTGAGGTAAGAACGGAATCAGTGGAAGAGATAAGGACATAATCAGTGGAAGATGTAAGAACAGAATTAGTGGAAGAGGTAAGGATAGAATAAATGACAGTGTTCAAACGGAGGAAAACGGGATATTTGATATCAACATACTTAGAAGAGGTAAGAACTTAACAAGTGAAAGAAGTAAGAACAGAACATTTTGTAGGGGATTAATGTATTTAAAATATTAGAATATTTTTAAGTATTTCACTTCTTATATAACATATGAGTTTTATTTTAGTGAAACTGAGGATGGTTTTGAGATCCAACAATGCTTCTGAATGGAAAGAAATTACAGAAAACATGTTGAAGATGGATCTTCATGATTTGAATTCCAATATAATACTAAAGGAAAATGATATCGTCATCGACGATTTTGAGAAGGGGTGTCTTGTGATAAATTTTAACATCTCCGGTGGAAATGCAATGAAAAACTTCCTGAAAACTTTATTTGAAGTAATATTTCAAGAGGTGAAAGTAGAAACCACTCTACGAAAATATGAAGCATCCTCCATTCATATTTATGGATATTTTTATCGTCCGGAGGAATTCCAGACAAAAGGTACCTTTGTAATTTTAATGTCACCTAAGTAACATGACATATTGCTATCTGTTTTTGTCGTCGTCGTGCGTCGTCCGTTGGTCGTAAAATTCTGAATATTTTAAGCTTCTTCTCTTGAACAGATGAACCAATTTCACACAATTTGGTAGGTAGAAACTTTAGATAAAGGGAAATAAAATTGTTGAATTGCATGGTCAACGTGAAGGCTCCGGGATGGAGCAAAATTGGTCATAAGTGGCGCTAATGCATTTTAGTTGTAAAATCTTCATTACACATGGATATCCATCTGACAGACTATTTGCATGATCATAATGAAAACCTGCACTCAACGTTTAGCCCAAAATTTGAAATTTATGCCGACATGGGTCTATTGTTCAGGCCCCAGGATGGGGCGTAGTTGGTCGAATATATAAAATATATATTACATCTTTGAAGTCTTCCTCTCTATTCATGGACTTTAAACAGGCAAACTGTTTACATGATTATAATGAACAGTTAATCTACCGAAATTATGAAATTCATACCCAGGCGGGCCCATTTATATTGTTCAGGCCCCTGGGAGAGGCTTATTTGGTCATACATGAAAAATACATTAAACAGGTATGTCTTTGAAATTATTCTTTTTTCGATGACATATAATAGGAAAACTTATTAAATGATTACAATATGTACATAACCATTTACCAAAATTTTGAAATTCGTGTCTCCTCAGGCCTCAAAGTGGGAGTATGTTGGTTATATATTGAAAATACATAACACTTTTGAAAATCTTGTTCTTAATTGAGTCCTATCATCATACTCTGAAAATCAGGAGTTGAGTCATTGACAATGTTCACAAAAATGTCATTAAATTTTCAAAGTAAGTTGTACTTACCTATGGTATATCTTCTAGATTCATCCTTATAGTTAATCATATTGTATAGGAAAAATTATTAAATCTCAGATCTTTTTTCATGAAACTCAAATAAAGCTCTGGCCATGCACCTTGTAATTGAAAATTGATCAACAAATATGTTTTAAGATAATAAACTATATATATCCAGGCATTTTGGAGAAAATTGCATGTTTTTAAATACTTTTTATATATTTTTATACGGTTTATTTACTTCAATTTTTATATCTATAATACTTAGTTTAAAAAGCTTATGCTATCATTGCAAGACATCACAGATCACTTCTAGTTTCATATCATGCTAATAAACATTGGTATCTAAGGTATCTAATTTAAAGGAAATTCAATTTCTCTAAAATGTTTTTGTTACTCTTTTATGCGGTAAAAGTGTCAACTTTTTACCAGACCGTTTCTTAGACTATAAAGAACTTTGAATCATATTGAGATGCATGAAGCGAAATTGTTGCAAGAAAAGATTTCAACTTCAAGCTATATTATGAGACTTTAAATCAAATAATGATTAATCAACATAGACTACAATAAAATGTTGTCGGATTGACGACACACCTGTTTATTCTCATCAAGAGTATATTTTTTCTTTGTAGATGCATCTTCCAGTCAGAATCAAAATGTGTCATTATATTGCCATCACTCTTGGGAGAATGGCTCTACAGTTTGTGATGTCGATATATATCTTACTGATTTGATGAGAAATTTAATCATTACAGGATTCTCTACAGATGGTGGGTATCAAAGTCAATCATTATAATCTTAAGTACCTGCTAAAGGTACCAAAAACAACATTGACTTGCACGGAAACACTACAAATTCATCTATATTCTGAAATTGCATTTGGTTCTGTAGGGGAGTGGAGTTTTTGCTGTTTGTTCTGTAGAAACGTGTTTATCTTCTATTTTCTATTAGTTATTATTTTTCTTGCAGTGGACGAACTCATTGAGTTGCAAATCAGATATGATACAATCAGATTAGGATCAACAGTCGTGCCTCCCACCGAGTCAACGCAACCTCTATTCACTGAAAACTTTGGTGATGTTCTTAACGATATAGTGAAATCATCACTTCTGCACTTGCATAGTTTGGATACGACAAACTCAACAACTCGTATAGTTTTTAAGTGCAAGGGTAAAATGCTGTATGCTAATTTTGTCGAAGGAAATGGCATCATAAGCAACATATCAAAGACTATAAATGTGCCAAGGTCGCTGTTGAGGGTATCTTTTTTTATTGATACCAATTTCGTGAACGACTCACTTTCTGATCAAGGTCAAGAATACCTTTTAATCTTTATTGTTTCTTTTTTAAATTTTATATAGTCGATTTCTTAATATATTCTCGTATGCATTTGTTACAAGTAATGATGTATTTAAATCCTCTTCTTTAAAGGTTTGATTTTCTACTTAAATCCATTGTCAAAAGTTTCGGATGCTATCAAAAGTGGGAAATTTCCCCGAATTGTCACTGCGATGCTTGAGGGAAAAGATCCATCTCTCCTTCAAAATGTCGGGGAATTGAAATTGAAAGCTGTTCTCGAATATCAAGAAGGTACATGAAATTTATCATACCATCGTCCACTTAGACTGAAAGATAGGTTTAATTGAAAAACATTTTGTCAATTTGTCTGTCCATGGAAATCGTGTCAAGGCAATGACTCTGAGAGGAAGATAAAGTGGCTCATGCATTAATACAATGCCATTCGACTAAAGAACAGTAATCATGCACAAAGTCCAAGATACAATAAAATTATGAGCATACCAAACACGGGTCTCTGTAAAGGTCACGAAGTAGGGGGAGGGGGAAGATCCGGGTGCTTTTGGTGATAAAGCATCTACTGTTGTCCGTTCACACCCGTGTGTCATCTTTGTCATGATCTGGCAGTACACAATATTTTCATTAGTGATTTGTAGCAGGGCTTCTAAATGCAATGGAAGCTCTTAACAAGAGTAGCAAAAAGTGTCATTTTATAAAATTTGCCAACAGTATTTCTAGGTTTTCCATTTAATTCCTTTAAGGAAGCTCTAAACACTGCACACTAAAGAGTTCTATTTGTAGGGTGGTTTTATTGAGTTAGAGTGATCTGCCCTTAGAAGTAAAATAGTATAAATGGGAATCTACATTAATGACACAATTTCTTATGAATTAAAGTATTCTTAATGTTATGTTAGGCCAAGACTAAGTAATTGAATACGTTATTTCCATTAATTTTTCCGATGCAAGTAAACAACAGTGATTTCTGTTCACAGATAGTTCATTGTCTTTGAACAAGTTTCCTGCAGAAATAGGGCAGGTACCCTATGTTGAAAATAAACTATATGCACTGAATATGTGCACCTTTTTATGATATATTTTTCTCAAAGCCCAAAATGCATTTTTCATTAGGTTTAGAGCTTACTTAATTGTTTAAAAATAATATCGTAAACTCGTTGTTTTTTGTTTAAAAGAATTTTTTCAAAAGGTCTAACGAGCGATTGCAATGTGTATTACATGTAAAACGTTGCTAAATCCTACTTATTTATCTCTTTTCAATTTACTAGAAAAGGGACCATTTTTGCCTGCATATTCCAAATCTTTGCCTCCAAAATTAGGAACTGTTGCATCAGCAGAAAGCAAAGACAATTTGAGAGAAATGAAGCTGAAAGATACTTTATTAAAGGCATGCAAAATGGGAAATCCTAATCTTGTTCAACAGATTCTTGAACAAGGAGAGAATCCAAATTTTCCAAACGAAAAGCTCCAAAATCCTATTCATATAGCTGCTGAAGGAAACCACGTACGTGTTCTGGAACAACTTCTTCTTCATGGCGCAGAAATAGATGTATTTGATTTAAATCATGAAACACCACTGATTATAGCTTCTCGAAAAGGAAACTGGAAAATCATTACAGAGTTGCTGAAGCAAGGAGCTGGCCTTGAATTCTATAACAATGAAAAGCATACGGCTCTTTATGTTGCTGTGGAACACGGTCATCGTTATGCAATATCAAATCTGTTAAAGTTTGGTGCCAATATAAATTCTGTCGGAAACGATCAGTGTACCCCTCTGCACATTGCATGTAAGAAAGAGAACCAGTTGATCATAAGGGAATTGCTTTCATATGGAGCTGATTTGCATTGCAATGATTCTAATCGGAATTCCCCTTTACATACTGTCTTGCAATGGAGCAATGACGAATCAAAATGCTTATCCATAGTCGATGAATTATTGAAAAATGGTGCGTCCATTAATAGATTTAGCGATGGCATGAAAACTCCACTGTGTATAGCATCAGAAAAAGGTTTCGGAAACATTGTTCGTTTACTGCTATCAAAAGATGCTGATTGTAATCTGTCTGATGTTGAAAATAACTTACCCTTTCATCTGGCTTCTAAAAACGGTCACAAGAAGGTAATCATGGAGTTGATTAGATATTGTAACTTCGTTGATAGGTGTAATGCCAATACCCTAACACCTAGAAGGCTGGCAAGCGAGCATCAAGAAATCCAAATGTTATTCAATGCTCATGATCTGGAGGAACTGAAAGGTATATGAAATCCTTTTATGTAATTTTTCATTAATTGAAAATACTGTGTTTTTTGGCATACGCCACCTTATTCTCAACAGTTAATTGATCTCCATCGAATATGTATTTGTCTGAATTTTTCTGCCATCAAGGTTCAATGCGTGGTACGATATTCTAAGTAAGAACTTAAGTGTAAAACCTATTTCTACTTTCTACATTTCAGAATTGCCAAATGATGTTGCTAGTCTGTGTTTGTATTCAAAAAAGGGAATGGTGAATGAGATTGAAGCTAACATAAAACACTCTATGCTTGTTGACAGCGCAGATGCTAACAAAAGAACTCTTTTATTCATTGCGTCTGAAAACGGACATTTAGACACTGTTCGCTTGCTAGTAAATTCAGGGGCCAGCATTGACGAATTTAATTCCTTCAGAAGAACCCCCTTGAGTGTAGCAGCAGAAAATAGATTTGAGTCTATCGTGGAGTTTTTAATTCAGTCTGGAGCTGATTCAAATATTATGGATGATTCGGGCAAAACACCGCTACATTATGCAGTCAAATCGGGAAGTTCAAGAATTGCTGATGTTTTGTTGCAAAGGGGAAAGAGTGTGTATAAGGGAGACTTCCAGGGAAAGACGCCACTCCATTTCTGTGGAAAGTATGGAAGTGTCTCTGTGGCAAAATTATTCCTGGCAGCTGGATTTAATGTGTATGAGTGCGATCTTGAAGGTAAATCTGCAATGGAAATAGCAATTGAAAATGCTGAGATTGAAATAGCAGAACTATTAATAAGCCATGGAGCTCATATTAATATTTCCGATATAAAAGGAAGATCTCCATTGCATTTGGCTGCAGAAAACGGAAGTATAAGCGCTGTAGAAATCTTGTTAAATGGTGGGGCGAACATTAATCAAAGGGATAAATTAAATCAAACACCGCTTTTTGTTGCAACCGAAAAGGGCAGAAGTGTTCTAAAGATTTTCATCAATCGCGGAGCGGATCTTAACTTATGTGATACGAATGGCAGGTCTCCTCTACATGCAGCATTAGAAGGTGGACATTTATTTGCAATGAAAATATTAGTTAAGCATAATGCCAATGTTAATCTAGCGGATCAGGAAGGAATGACTCCTTTGCATTTAGCTTCACAATTAGGCAATGTAGAAGGGGTAGAAATTTTGTTAACAGCCAATGCCAATGTCAACTCTTTAGATATTAATGGTCGTTCCCCTCTTCACTACTGTAGCTTAGGTTTAGTGGCGAAACGATTGTTACAACATGGTGCTGAAGTCAATGCAAAGGACAAAGAAGGAAAAAGCCCACTCCATGTAGCAGTAGAAATGTTATGTGCTAAAACTTCGACTGTGACTAATTCGATTGAATTTCTTGCCATAATAAATGAGGTGATCGTAAATGGCGCAAATATTTGTTTACATGACAATGAAATGAAAACAGTTATTCATAAGACAGTGTATGCTGACCATGTTCATTTACTGATAGAACTTCTGAGTTACAATATTGAATCTGATATTAAAGAAAATTTAGTACGGACAGTAAATGATATTTTAAAACAAATGCAACAAGGAAATATAAGAATTATCTTAGAACATTGGATGGACATTCAGCGGCCAACTGAAAAAACTTACGGTGCTGACATTCATAAGACAGAATGTTGCCCTCCATCTTTGTATCAAAAACATTTAGAATGGCTAAGGGAGCACAGTAAGCAAAATTAAAATATTCCAATGGTGTTTGAAAAAGATCCAGTTTAATTCAATTTTTTGACGCATTTTAATGAGCATAACAGGAAAGTTTTCATGTTTCTCCGTTAAAAAGATATATTTTCATTTTTGCAGAGTGTTTCAAAAGAGCCAACATATTGCAGCGGGTTATTTCGTCAGAAAGATGTAAGGTTTTTAGCTTTAAAACTTGTTAAATCAAAATATTATGTTTGAAATAATTGTCAAAGCTTCTTTATTGATTCAAAAGAATTTGAATAAGCAGATTCCGTCATTTTAATGAATGAATTTTTTTTTTTTTTTTTTTTTTTTTTTTTTAAATAATCTCTGATTCCCAATCTCTGCAGCACAAGAAGCGAGAAAGAGAAAAGAATCTTGTGGGGAATCATCTCTAATTGAGCCATTGGAAAAAGTTCTAAGAGTTGAAGGTAATTTATGTTGGAGTTTTCATTTTCTGCAACCAAGTACATATTTTATCAAAGACTATTCAATACTGAAGATATTATGTGGGAAAAAAGCATTTTGTATTTTCAAATGGAAAATATTGTTGATAATAAAATATCTTAGCATTTTTTACCAATTTTTTGTACCTCAATTTCTTTGTTATGTTCTAGATATTGTTACTGGCTCATCAATTATACGTTGTTTCATTTTCACAGGCGAACAAAACGAAGAGGATTGAACTGTTGCATTACAGACATTTCTTAAAAGAAATGATATACATCATGCTTATTATATTTTAGTACGGACAATAAATATGAAAATAAGAGATGATTTTAAAAAGATCTTGTTTTAATTGATTGAGCATATGTGTATTAACAGAAAAGAATCAACACTATAATTGGGTTTTTATTATTTTTTATAAAGATCCAATACAATTACAGTAAGTAGATATCAAGTTTTTAAATGTAGACATGCATACTTTTACCATTGTTTCATTCATCTATAAATCTTAATATATACATTTATGGTATCTCTCTATTATAAAAACATGCAGAGAGCAAAAATTTCCAAAGGTCATAGGTCATTTGGTGCAATAATATCTACATAAAATAACTTGCCCTACTTAGCAATCTCCTCATCTTGAAAAAAGTAAATAATGAAAACTGTTTTATTTTAAAAGCATACAAGTATTTAATCCAGTCCTTTTGGCAATATTACTTAGAGAATAAACAACTAGGCCTACGTGTTTTGATTTACTTAGAGAATAACCAACTACATGTTATAAATTTTATGTCAGCTGCATAGTCTTAACGATTTTCCTTATTTTTCATGTAGACTCCATCCTAAACTCTGAATGGTATTAAATATATGTTTCTTCATTCATTATTTTACTCTTGATAAATATGCAATTCTGCTGGAAATATTAATGCATTTACATGATGATTATACCACAAACATTTCGGTAAAACACGCCCTAGTCCATCACTGAGAGCGTTGTCTTAACAATGTAAGCTTTCGCCAGTGTCTCTGTGAATATATTTGGTCAAGTTTATAAAGTTATGTTTCATTTTAAATTAACTTGCTCGGCTTTGTGTCGCCATACCTTTCCGACCGAAATTCCTCCAACTTTTTATTATCAAACATCAGACTAGTTTCGTGTGCCTTTTAAAAACCGAATATCGGTTTTCACGATAACAAAAAAATTCCCAGACAACAATGAGCTCACTATTATTGATCACAAGCGGGCCTTTTACAGAAAATTCACATTCAAAACGGAACTCTTTTAGTTTGCCAGGTGACAAAGCGTAACCGCTTTTCATGCCGATTTACACCTTGTGCAATTTTGTCAAAATCTTTGACAGACAATTTGTGCAATATTTATATACGATTGTCCATCTCAAATGTATATATAAGTAATAAATAACAAGTTTAAAAACTTCACTGAGAAATGAAGTAGGTAGTTACGTGATCGAATGTACTACATGTAGGAAGGCCTTCTGCCTTCAAAGGGTTTGATAACGTGGCCAACAGGCCGACCCGCTTCATTTCCCAGTGAAGTTTTTAACCTTGTTGTTCATTTCTTAAATAATAGATCAAGCAAAAATCAATGATTTAAATGTAGACATGCACACTTTCACGATTGTATTTTATTCATCTATAAATCCTGATCATTTAAAACTCAAGTAACTAGCGCAAGTAGAAATCAGTGTTTTAAATGTTGACATACACACTTGCACCATTATATTATATTCATTTATAAATCTTAATGATGTAGTATAATTCTTTAATGATACAGATCAGAAATAGATTCTTAATTAATTTTACTATAACTCCTGCATTATGCATATCGCTTGAACTTACCAAAAATGCAATTTAAAGCAGGCTGTAAATAATCAAATCAAACTTGATTCCTTTTCGGATCAAGTGAAGCAATTCTCTTTATTAAGCATTTAAAAATAATAAACAGACATCCAACAAGGCACGCAAGTTTGTTTACATTATGCATGGTTATTATTTTTGTCGTAGAAAACTCCGTTACATTAGATCAGAGGGACCGTTTCGTACTGCCTGATATAAATATCATAAATACATATATAATCATTTCATCGCGATTTGTACATTAAATTAGGCAGGATCATAGTAAAAGAATCTTACAATCTTCTAATCAAACTTTGATCTAATAATAGTGCTCAGAAAAAAGCACAAAAATAAATTTGATAATAATAATCGTGAGGATAATCTCTTGATGCAAATGTAAATGCTCTTATCTTGTGAAGAGATAATTGTTAAAGTCTCATTATAAATACATGCACTTCAAACAGTGTAATTCGAGACCACTGTAATTAACCAGCACAGGTTCATAAACCCCCTGGTCACTCATATAAAATGTTGGTTTCAATCTAATGATTTTCCAAAAGAAAGTGTTTTACAAGTAACTTAAAAACAATTATGGCATAGCTTGCGGGGCAAAATTAAACAAAAAAAAGACGCTTCAATTTGGCAAATTTATAAAGAAATAATAGACATTTATGTTATTAAGAGTTATCTCTCTTATCATAGTGTTTATGAACCTTAATTCATTATTCTCCTAAAGAAAACCCTGATTAAGAACTGGCGCAGAGTTTTTGGTGGTAGAAGTCAAGCTGTACCCTTAGTAATTTCTGTATCATGACCCCTGCTTTCTGTCTGGTTACGAGTTGACTCTTGGTCTTTGGGACCGAAGGTAGAAATAAGCTCCAACCCTAGGCAAATGTCAAATCTTAATACACTTGTATATGGTTACGAGTTGACGTAAATGTTTTGTTTTATATTAACTATAATAATAATAAATAAAACATTTGTAGATCGCCCTATTTAATAAAACTTACTCTAAGGCGCTTAACAATAAGATTATAGTAAAATAAATGTACAAGACAGTAATTAAAACTTTTAAAAGAATAAGAAAATAAAAAATGCATAATAATGGGGAAACATACAAGAAAAAGAAGAGATAAATAAAAATAGGAAAATCAGATATTTGCATTTGAGACATTTTAAAAAAAATAAAAATTATAGGGGTTTAAAACTCAGGAAAAACAGTCTTTAAAAAGTGTGTTTTTAGCAATTTTTTTAAAAGCATCCTCACTTTGTGCCAATTTTATGCGTGTTGGAAGTTCAGTCCATAAACTGGCGGCAGCCCATTTAAAAGTCCGTTCTTCAAAAGTCTTAGTTCGAACTTTTGGAACTACAGGTCTTATTGATGTTTCCGATCTTAGTGATCGAGCTGGCTTATAAACTTCAATAAGTTCTTGCAGATATGAAGGAGCACATCCAAACAAGGTGCAGTAGGTAAGACCAGTATCTTAAATTGTGGCCTATAGTGGACAGGAGGCCAGTGTAGCTCAGCAAGGACGGGAGAAATATGATTCCGTTTTGATGTCCGAGAGACAAGTCTTGCCGCAGTATTCTGCACCTTCTGTAAGCGGTCTAAGGTGGTCCTGTTGATTGCAAACAGAAGAGAGTTGGTATTATCGAGCCTTGATGTAACTAGTGCATTGACAAGAGTCTTAAATGCATCCGTTGTTATGAGATGGAGAATTCGTCCAATATAACTGATATGAAAGTGACATGTCTTCACAATAGATGACACAAGACTCTCCAATGTCAGATGGGAATCGAAATAAACACCAAGGTTCTTGACGAGCGATGCAGCAGAAATGTCATTTTCTCCAGCTTTAAGGTGGTGTAGTGGAATAGAAGATAATTAGCTCTGTTTTGTCCCGGTTACGTTTCAACAGATTGGTAGCCATCCTTGAACTAATATCTGCTATACACACTTCTAATCTTGAAATATAGTTATTCCACCCTTCCACTGGTCTTATAACGAGGTAAATTTGCGAGTCGTCTGTATAACAGTGGTAGTACATTCCATGTTGTCGACAGATGGCCCCAATAGGTTTGGAAAACAAACAGTAGAGTTTAGGTCCAAGAACAGACCCTTGAGGGACGCCAAATGGAAGAACTCGCTCGGTGGATTTGAGAGAATTAATTGACACAGATTGACGTCGATTTTCTAAGTAAGATTTAATCCACTGTAAGGCTCCACTTGTTATTCCATAAGCTGCATTGAGCCTATCCAATGGGATACGATGATCAATGACATCAAATGCAGCTGACAGGTCGAGGAGCACAACAGATGACCCACTATCTAATGCATGCATAATGTCATGATGCACTTTGAGCAAAGCAGTTTCTGTCGAATGATGTTTTTGTACGCTGACTGCATTGTGTCACTCAGACAATTTAAGTTTAGATGGTTGTCTAGTCTCTTAGCAACTACCTTTTCAAGTATTTTAGAGATGAAAGACAGACTGCTGACAGGTCTGTAGTTTGAAAGGATTTCCTTATCTAATCCTAGTTTCTTGAGCAGTGGCGTAATGACTGCCTCCCTGAAACTAGAAGGAACTGCATATTCTGAGAGAGATGCGTTTATTATTGATGTTATAATAGGAAGAAGTGACTCCAAGCATTGTTTTGTCAGATAAGTTGGGAGCGGATCCAACTCACAAGACTTGGTTGCCGAATTTTTGATGATTGACTCAACTTCTAGCGGATTCGAATCCCACTTTGGGACGTGGAGACCGGTCCTTCGGATGAGACCGTATAAACCGAGGTACCGTGTCGCAGTAGGTGCTGGCACCAAAAAGATCCCTCACTGCTCAATGGCCAAACATAAATCAAAATTTGCAGCTCTCCACCGGCAAGTGGTGACGTCTCCATATGAGTGAAATATTCTCGAGAGGGACGTTAAACAACAAACAAACAAACAAACAACTTCATCTACAGTCGTCAAATCAAAGGCAGTTAAGTTTCTCCAGTGAATTTCACTTCTAAAACGAGGTAAATTATTGACAAATAAGTTGATGAAACAAGAATATCAGCTGTCTCGTTTAAAGTCATCATTTCGTAAGATCTATGGTCGATACAATGACTTTGTCAGCAAATACAATTTATCACTGAGTCAAATACTGACTGACGTTTTTCATACTAATTGTTAGGCCATTATTTACACACTGAATTGTCAGCGGATTTTTTCGTTATTTCCCGATCATGACAAGGAGCACACGGCGGGTGTGACCGGTCGGCAGGGGATGCTCACTCCTCCATGGCACCTGATCCCACCTCTGATGTTTGGAGGTCCGTGTTTGCTCTGCTCCTATTTTGTATTGTATAATGGACTTTTGAGCTTGAATACTGTTCGTTATCTCCATATATTTCATCTACTCTAAGGGGGTCTGACTGATCTGCTTGGTTTTGTTGGAGTTGGTAGAGGGGATTGCTGTTTTTTCCCCATGAGGTCCTTAGTAAGCTTGAAGAGCTGCTTA